AAATACTGTACCTAGATTGTGGATTTTACTCCAACACAACTTCCATAGATACTTTTTTATTATATATATTGATCATTCAATAAAACAATCAAGCACTATGTTGAATTTTAAAGCTGAAAACGATTTTTGAAAGAGAAGTAAAATTTGTCGCATGCACATGTGTGAAGCCATAAAAAACACAGACTTTTAAGTGGCCCGTTTCCTTCACTTGGGAATTACATAGTACTGTATAGTATGGTGTGTTGTATGCATGCTAACAGTTACAATTCGAGCGGATTTTTTAAAAATCTTTCGCTTCAATTTTTATGACGTCATCACCTTTATATTATGTTCGTAAAATCGGGAATTCGTTAGATCGGGGTTCGTAAATGAGGGTTTCTACTGTACTCCAATTGTATAATTTGATGTTTAGTGCTAAATTTTAATAGCGCCTTAAGATGATTTTTTTTAATCGTAGAATGAACGATAGAAAAGCAGGACCATTACTATTAACATAACACATTACTCAACTTATTGGGGTATTCATGGTGATCTAAACTGTACGGAAAGGAGCGTGCTTAAATAGTTGTTTTTTTATTAACAATTGCTTTCATGTGTTACAAAATCCTAAGGTTAATACCATAATAGAGATAGTAAAGTGAAGGTTTTTACTCTTTTATTATGTATTGTATCATACACAAAGAATCCCATCAATACATAGATAAACCATGGTTGTTCATGGATTAACATTGATTTCACCATTAAAAACAGAACTAGACTCTATGATTTTAAAATTTAAAGAAAAACTTACATAGAAATAAGTAACTCTATAAGCTATAAATGAGGATAAGCTTCCAAATACGGTTAATTTATATTTTTGAAGCAATTAGATGTAGGTAATATTTTCAAAAATTGGCTTGCTTTAACAGTGGATGAACTTAATTTTATGTACATTCTTGTATTCTAAATCATTTTTATAATCTTTTATTATTATGTGGATGTTTTTATGAACAAAATTGAATGAATGAATGAATAATTAATGCATTGTAATTCATTTTTATAACCTTTTTCAAATGTTGATGTTTTAGTTTAGACAAATTTATTCCATTTGATGTCTTGTATTTTTCTTCCATTTTTATTGTAAAATCAGAAAATGTTTTTAACATTTCTATGTTGCTTTCAGAGTGTTTTTATACCAATTAATGAAATGAATAAACATTTTGGGATTTGTTTTAACTAAACAATTCCATCTAAAGCTATATTATGAGATAGAATTACTATGGATGCATCCACTAAAAATTAATAGCTATAAATATACAACAGAGTTATTTAACACTTTGTTGACAAGACATCTTTTTGCTATCATTTTGTAAATAGGTCACTCTAACTGACCTACTTTTGAGCAACTAAAACACACAATATCCAATCAAAGCTCAAAAAATGATGGTACATGATATCAATATATTTTAGTGTCAAATTTTAGGATGCATAATTTTGATCTCACATGGGAATTTCAGAAAATCAAATAAAAGTGCCAGTACCAGTACTCTACCAATAAGAGAATTAAACGTATACAACCAATACCCAAATACACACAGGCCTACATAAATCTAGCCACGTTTTGCATAATGTAACAACTTTTTACAGCGATATGCTGTGTGAATCTCTTGAGATATCTGTGTAAAACTTTCCCTGTATAACAACATCATCTCGGGAACAAATTTACAGACATCAGCATGGCCTATAAAGTTCCAAAATCTCAAGATATTTATTTCGAAGTATTTAAATGTTCTGTGGCTAGTTGCATGCCTCTAAATACCTACACTCACTATCCTTGTAAAAACCATGAGGGCGTTTAAGGCTTCCTCCTTGCCCGGATGAAAAAAAGACTGCATTACGCTGACAATGGTTATTTACGCACAATATCATATAATAGTGAGAGTGGTAGAAGTAGAATTTGCGATTTGGACTCTTGTAACTTTGGAGTTCAAACCTCTCACTGTGCATTTCACTTGCGTCCTGGGCCAGGCACTATACCTACGGTTGTCTCTCTCTCTCTCTCTCCACTCAGTAGTATTTGGGTTCCCGCCAGGCTCGAATGTCAATGAGCTAATTACTAGCTGCAACGTTATGAAATTCTTCAACAGGGAGTGAAGGATGCGAAGGATGTGTGTCATAGGTGTTTGCTCCAATGCAGGGGTCTCAAGTGTCCCGCAAGTCACGGAAGTCTCCCGGAAATCGGGAAGGCCTACTGTACTCCTGTGCACAAGAAAGAACCTCCCGGCAAACGACCAAACTCCCACAAATTCACAATATTTGCATGTTTTTGCAAGGTTTACTATTGCATTATTTTTTTAGAACCAAATTTCTAGAGGGCGACCCTTCCAGCGTATCCTAGAAGGTCAGCTGATATTCAGGCGCCCTCTTACATAAATGAAATAATATTATGCATTTATCAGCATATACTGTATGTATTTAATTACTGGGTGCACCAAACAAATGTTAAGTGCCAGTGATTCAAAAGTGAGATCCAAATAACAGTTAGAAGTTGGGGCTTAGGGAGTGGAGTTGTTTTAGTCATGAGAAGAAGTCCTTCTGTCAGAGGAATTGAACCCAGGGATTAAAAGGCAAGCATCTTAATTACTAAGATATTCAACTCCAATTATCAACCGTCTCCCAGAAATCAGTGTCAATGCGTATCACCATCCACAACAAAATATAATTAGATGTGTTAATAAGAAAGCTCATGTATACATTTCTCCAGGAGGCTGGATATGGATTCTTCCAACTTGGGACCTCCGGCAATGACTAAGGTAATAATGCGAAGTGCACAAGGACA